ACCACTGCGAATCCTGCCCAGCCAAGTTGACACAAACCCTTAACTGCCATAAGTGTTTCATTAAGAAAAAAAACAGGTATTAAGGTATAACGGTATTTAGGAAATAATTCTGGATCAGGCTCAATAGGCTGTAACTCATGATCAGGACCCGAAAGCATGGAGGTGAAATCTGGACGGCTTCTCTGGAGAGGCTCTCCCTTTCTTCCTCAGCGCGGCGCAGCTCTGTCAGCATCTCCTCCCTGTGCACGGAAGCAGAGCGTTCTCTAGGCCATGCATGCACTGTCTCAGCTGTGCTGGCCTCCCTGCTATCACCACCAACTCTGCAGCAGGACCCTCTGCAAGCTTTTAGGACCTCAGTTAGTACTCACCGAAGTAGAAGGTAGAGTACTGTCTCCGTGGACTTTGTTACGCTAATTGACCTTGATGTCCACTTTGGGTAGTTCTGAGCCCCAGATCCAGTGGCTGATTGCCTAAAAGTGATGGCTGAGAAGTTTACATAACTTTGCTCATCTGTTTGCTGTACCATGTAAAAGCCAAACTCACTGCCATCCTTTTACAGCACACACAGATGCAAAAGTATCATCTGCTAATCCTGTGTGTAGTCGTGGCTGTTGTCCTTTTAGTCTACCTATACTCGTTCATCTTCTCTGTCTGCCTCTGTAGCCAGTTTGCTATTGCTGAGCATGCAGGATGGCGTCTACCTTTGTTGCCCATAACTTGTGCACCTCTTGTGTCTTCCTTTTCCTTAGTGACATGGTCTTGATCACCTTCTTATTGTATACTGCCTTTCCCTTCACCCAAATTAATATGTCTATTATGTAATCGCCAATTTTCCTTCCCTTTCCTTGCATTCCCAACCCTGTGATTCATCAAGAATGTTTATTTTTGTGTGTACAATATTTGTCCCTTTGTGGTTGACTTATGTCACTCAGTACAATGTCCTCAGGCTTATCCACGTTATAAGGTGTTTAACAGATTCTTCAATGTTTACCTTTGTGTAGTATTCTATTGTTTGCATATACCATTTATCAATTGATGGAAATTTAAGTTGTTTCCTTTTCTTTGCTATTGTGGATGATGTTTTAATGAACATGCTGTGCATGTAACTGTTTGCATCCCAGATCTTATTTGTTTAAGATCTGTAGCTAGTAGTGCGATTATGGAATCAAATGGTATTTTAGTTTCCAACTTTTAAAGGAAAGACCAGGCCATTTCCACAGTGCTTGTACCATTTCACAGTTTTGCTGGCAGTGTGTGAGTGTTCCAAGCTCTCCAGACCTTCGCCAGCATTTCTTGTCTTTAGTCTTGTGGAACATAATTGTTACTGTGGGAAGAGATGTTATCTCATCATTGTTGCTTTGAACACTAAACATTTATTAAGGATATATACGTGTGTGTGTATAGTTGCTGTTGTTTAATTGCTTTCAACTCAACAAGAGAGTAGAACATTCTCTGGTCCTGTACCATTGTCATAATTATTGTTATATTTGAACTCACTGTGGCAGCTACTGTGTCAATCCATCTCATTGGAGGTTTTCCTCTTTTTCAAGGACTGCATTTTATTGAGAATATGCAAGGTGGCTTTAAAAAGTTGGTGAAAAATGAAATTGAAAGGGAATGGAATTGTTGTACAAACTCTTTAAGCCCCTTTCTATGTAGTCACGTAGGGTAAACAGTTCTAGTAGGTGCTTACATGGAGGGGAGGGGGGTAGTCTTGTGGATGAAGGCAAAAACTCACCAATAAGAGGGGAGACTTGCAAAACAGTCTGTCATCTTGAACCTCTACAAAGAGGAAGGGAGAGTAGGAGAGAGGGAAGAGCAAAACACAGACAACTCCAAAGTGAGACACTTATATTAAAATCCCAACTCCATTGCCTCAATATCCTCATATGTAAGCCAGGGCTTCTAATTACACTCCTCAAAGGACAATGACAAAGATTAAATAAAATACTACCCATGAAGCACTTGGCCTGCGATCTGTCACACACTAAGGCACGCGCTGTCTGCTGGTAGCACAGCTTTAGCATTAGCACTATCAACAACAACAAGAACATTTTATTCATCAGCATTCTTACCAGCTGAGGGCATAATAGGCTTCAAAGAGCTGTTCAAGTAGCAAAAGGCTATGGCTAAATGTGTCTGTATATTAAACACAAGAGCATGGAGCAGGAGATGTGACAGCAGCTCTGATTAGTATGCATTTGTGCTCATAGAACTTTACTCCATAATGTTTCCAATGGCTGCTTTTTCAGAAGTAGATGGCCAGACCTTGCTTCCAACGGAACTCCACGTGGACTTGAACTGACAACCTTTTGGTTAGCAGCTAAGCACTTTGTCCATTTGCAGCATAAGGGACCTACATATGAAAGGGGTGACATATTAGAAAATCTGGGGAGGCAAGTCTTATATGGATGAAAAGTTTTAAATTGGGAGAAATGCAAAGAAGAGTCTAGAATGAAGAAGTATTGTTTAGGAGATTTTCCAAGAGAAACTACCACAAATTCATGAACGTTTGGTGTTATTAAATCTCTTCTGGAATACAATGATACAACCGAGACCAGAGTTCTAGGGGAAGTAGATTTGTGTAGTTTACAGGTTTGTGTAGATTACAGAGACAGTTGATAGCTTCTTTGCACTCTTATTGGAAAGATGGTGACCTAGGGTAGATATAAATCCTTAAGAGGTGGTCTGATGGAAAGGCAATGTTTTATTTTAGGTTTTCTAAAGAAGCAACATCAGTCAAGCTTATATATAAATGCATATGTATATCTATATATTTACTGTAAGGAAATGCTCACACGATTGTAGGTATTGGTGAATCTCATCTCCTTGGGTCAGGTGGCAGGCTGAATGTTTTCCTGATTCACATGGCTGCCGGATCTGGCAAACTCAAAATCTGCAGGTTAGGGGACAGGCTGCTGGCTCGTGGAATTTCCAACCCCCCTAAACAAACTCACTGCCATCAAGCAGCTCAACACATAACTCTTTACACCACCAGGACTCCTTCCATGCAATTGTAGGAGCCGAAAAATCCCTGATCTGCAGACTAAAAGACAAGCGGAAGATAGCAAGAGGGCACATGCAAGCTTTGCCAGAACATCCATGCCTATTGGATACAGACCACACGCCCATGTAAACTTCCCTTTGGATTGGCTGTTCACAACAGATCACAAGGTGGATGATGATGATCTCACGAAGTTGACACATTGCAGCAAGCTGAGAATCAAGGCTTACACTCCTAAGGCAGAAAGTTCATGGCTTCTGCTCCCAGCATTCGGTTCGACTCGCCCTCCCTCCCTCCTGAACACCGAGTCAGCTACCTCCCTATTTCTCAGCTCCGAGAGAGACTCTCCTTCTCTTTTATCAAACATTACTGTCAAATCAGAATCTGAAGTGGCCAGCCTAATTTAATGTCATATGTCCTTAAGAAGGGAAAATGATGGGACATTCTACTCCCCTAAAGAGTTACAGTCTCAGAAACTCACAGGGGCAGTTCTACCCATGGTGTCCTATAAGTCCCCATGAGTTGGCATCAACTCATGGCAGTGAGTTTGGTTTGGGGTGTTTTTTGTTTTGGTCCTTAAGAAGCATTTGCATTGTTAACAGGGACTGACACATTAAGCTACAAAATGAAGGGATTCTCTTAGTGAAACTTTGGGCATCCGCAAAGAAAGGGGGAAGATATTATCTTAGAGAATGCTGATCATCGATCTCCCCTCCTGCTGGAGCTCCCTGGGAAGGAGGTGCCCTGGCTCTCAACAGCCACAAGTGAAGACAGTACAGAGTCCAAGGAGACATACTATCGGGCTGGAAAATTCATTAAGTATTTACATGAAAATTCAGGTCCCCCTATTGCTCAGGGTAATGTCACATGACAGAGCGCACAGGTGGAGCCAGAGGTCTGATCTGAGATGCTTCTGCAGGCTGATAAGAGTGAGTTCTCTGCTGGAGCGTGGCTGGCGTGGGGTTGCAGGGTCGAGTAGAAGGAAAGAAAGAAGAAAGGCACAGTAAGTAGAGGCACTGCAGTGTGAGATTATTGGGGTGAGTTGTGAGAGCATTTTCTAATTTGAGGAGTTTAAGGTTTCAGGGGATACCTGGGTGTCACAAACGGTGACTACTAACCTAAAGGTTGGCGGTTTGAACCCACCCAGCAGCATCTCAGAAAAAGGCCTCCTGGTGTGTATCTGTAAAGATTACAACCAGGAAAACCCAATAGAGCAGATCTACTCTGTCCCACCAAAGGGCTGCCACGAGTTGGAATCGACTTGATGGCCAGAGGTTTCAGTGTGGTTTGGTTTGGGGGTAAAGGTTTCAGCAAGGGAAGAAAGGGGAAACACCTTGCATGTCTTTCCTTCATTGAGGAATTAGGAGACGCTGATGCTGAAGTGTGGTTGGTGAGTCAGGCCTTTCTGTTTAGCATCTGTCTGAGACTTGAGCTCTGTGTGCAGAAGCTGTTATTGACCTCACCAGGCCTTAAGCCGATGCCTGTTATCAGAGAGTGAGCAGAGGAAAAATGGCCCCGAGAACATAAACGTGAGTCTTCCTCAGATGAGGCTTACAGGGCCAGCTGAAAATGAGGGGAAGGAGAGAGCGAGAACCGGCTGTTGACTGTCGCAGTACCCTGCGAGAGTCTGGGGTTTGGTGTGGCTCTGTTGTGCTATAAAGAACACATATCTGCAGGCCTTCTCTGTAAACCAGGCTGGCGGCCTGGTCTGTTACCAGGACTTGGGGCTGACCAGCAATATGCAGGACTTTAAGAGGAGTAGGTGGGACAGGTCCAGGTGCTTGGAATGCATTAGGGTGGACACACATATTCAGCATAGCTCCTAGTCTTTCCAGTCGACCAACTTTGGGAACTAGGAATGGATGGGAGAAACAATTCTCTCCATACTCAGTGGTCAGCCACTGGCCTCTTTTGCTAAGGTAGACATCAACCATCTTTCTCTCCCCCACCCACCCCCTGCCATCTCCCTTCTGCAGTTGCTGCAGGCAGATCCATCATGTGGGCACTGACAACCCTCCTGATCCTGGGTGAGTTCCCCATAAAGCAGTGACAAATAAGGACGGGTGGAAGGACAGAGGGTGTGACAAAATGTGTGTGTGTGAGTGTGTGTTGAAAACATTTCGATTTGAAAACTCTAAACAATCAGTATCTCTTCTTTCTTTTTGAGGGGTGAAAATGAAGGCGTTTTTCACCAGTTGGATAAACTAGAGGGAAAGAAGAAAAACAGAACTTAATACCATTTAGTCTTTCCTATGGTCACAAGAGTCCTCGCTTTCCTTTCATCTTCACTGTTCCGTCCTTATTTCTTGGGTTTGTTTTAAAAAATTATTTTGTTGTTGCTGCTGCTGAGAATATACATAGCAAAACATACCAGTTTAACAGTTTCTACACATACAATTCAGTGACAGATACATTCTTTTAGTTGGGCAACCACTGTCACCCTCCTTCTCTGAATTGTTCCTCTCCCATTAACGAAAGCTCACTGTAGTTCCCATGCAATCTTAGAAGTTGCTGTAGTTCATTTGACCCCATATAGATGGTTCTTAAAACCAGAGCATAGTGCTCAGGGCAGATATTCTTTACTAGTTAGGCTAAGCTTTTGTTTAGCTTTAAGACTTCAGGGGATATTTTTGGTTTAAGGTTCAAAAATTAATAGGTCGGGTGTTTCATCCAGCCTTCATGGCTCCTCTTAAAGTCCTGCATATTGCTGGTCAGCCCCAAGTCCTGGTAACAGACCAGGCCGCCAGCCTGGTTTACAGAGAAGGCCTGCAGATATGTGTTCTTTATAGCACAACAGAGCCACACCAAACCCCAGACTCTCGCAGGGTACTGCGACAGTCAACAGCCGGTTCTCGCTCTCTCCTTCCCCTCATTTTCAGCTGGCCCTGTAAGCCTCATCTGAGGACTCCATGAACTCTGGAGTTCATGAGAATTTTAATTTCTGTTCTGCATCCTCCCATCCCCCTTTTGGTTGGAATTCTTCTATTGAATCTTTGAACAAATTGTTCAATACTGGTAGTTGGGCACTATCTAGTTCTTCTGGTCTCATGGTAAGGGAGGCAGTTGTTTATAGAGGCAATTAGCTGTATCATCCATTTCTTCTTCCTATTTCTAACTCCCCATCTTCTGTTTTATTTCTTGTTTTACAGTATCAAGCAGTGGACATGCTGGTAAGTCTTACACATCCCTTACCTCAGTTTTCCACAATCTCATCTCTCATGCCCCATTAGTGACATGTTTGAGTAGACATACCCCTTTTTGGGTGCTTTGGGATAGTGCCTCTGCCCTCCCACCTTCAATCCCTGTGACTCAGTGTACCAGTAGAATTGGGTGCTCACTGAGAGCTTTTGAATCTGTGAATATGGTCACCACTCCCGTAAAGATGGGTAGTAAAGTGGGCTGGGGGTTTCTAAGATTTCCCAAACTCAGGCTGCCTATTTGAACACCTCCCCTTGATTCTCTTTTCCACACTCTCCTCCCCCCAGCTCCTCTGGAGAAGCCCACACTCTCTCTGCACCCACCCTGGACTACAATCTTCAAGGGGGAGCGGGTCACCTTGCGTTGTGACGGGTACCACCCTCTGCTCCTGGAGCTCCGACCCATCAGCACACTCTGGTATTTGGGCCACCTGCTCCTGCCCTCACACAAGAAGAGCATCGAGGTGCAGACACCAGGGGTGTATCGATGCCAGACACGGGGAGCCCCTGTCAGTGACCCTATCCACCTCTCTGTATCTAATGGTGAGTGGTCTGCACACGAGGGGGAGGGTGGCACACGTCTCCTCTGGTGATGCCCACCTAGCCCTCCTAGGGGAGAGGACACAGAACCACTCCCAACTGGGCAGGAAAAGGGCCACGCTGAGGTCCTTCTTGAATTCACCTTTTACTTACTTAAAAGGTGAACTCTGAAGATAGTTTCCCTTAAAGGTTTAAAGAGAATCTCAGGGCAATCATCTTGGTGAGGGGTGTGTGTTTGTGTGTGTTTCCATTCTCATGGGTTCAATGAGTCTGTTGTTTGAGAATTGAAGTTGTTTTCCTCCTTCTGTCAGGATCTATCTATTGTGACAGTGATCTGTTGTTTCTTGTTTGCAAATTGTTAGTGAGTACAGAAAAGGTACTGTGATAGACGTTGGTTACTACTTGCAGAACTGAAAGTAGCACATGGTTTGTGGCTTTTATTTACAGAATTCTTTCACCATGCAAAACATCTCAAATGGTTCCCAGCTTTTAAGTGTGAGCTAGTGGGGATAGTGGTAGGCTAAATACTGAGTGCTATGGGGAATGCCTAAAGCTCTCCTGGGGGAGTCAGGAAAGTTTTCTAGAATCAGTAACGTCTAAACCTAGATCAGAAGACCCTGACCAGGTGAAGGGGGTCTCTTGTGGCTCAGAGAGCGGTCAATTCTCCCAGCCACACAGTATGGATGGAACTTAGCTTTTGTGAGGACTGGAAGGGACAAGACTAAAGGAGAAGTTGGGAGGGGGAATCCTGAGATCGTGGTGGAGAGGAAGGCAGGGCCCCAGTCCTCATGAAGTACTGATGTCCCCCTAAGTTAGTTGAAACTTGATTCTTAAAGGCAGTGCCATTTTAAGGCTGGAACTTTGCCTCCTTGTTATCTACTGAGTCAACACCACTCCCCTCTGAACCCACCTAATGTCTCTGCATGGCAAGGATCCTCCTCAGGTGCCAACCACCCAGGAAGGCCTAACAGCTCGGGGACTGGGGGAGATGTGGGTTGGGGTGGGAGTCCTTCTGGGAGGAGGAGTATGTGTGGGCGAGGAGGAGGAGAATAGGAGGTGCCTTATGCCTGGAGTCTGCGGTGTCTGTTCTAGACTGGCTGATCCTGCAGGTGCCCTACGCTGCGGTGTTTGAGGGTGAGTCTCTGATCATGCGCTGTCGCGGCTGGTACGACAAGGTGGTCTACAAGCTTCACTACTACCGCGATGGCCAGGCGGTGCGCTACTTCCACTCCAGCGCCAACTACACCGTGCCGCAGGCGCGCACCAGCGACAGCGGGCGCTACCAGTGCTCCGGTACCATGCGCATCCCGGTGGAGAGCGCGCCCATGTTCTCCTCCAAGGTGGCGGTGACCGTGCAAGGTGGGGGAACCCCGGGGGCCGGGGAGAAGTGGGCAAGCGAGCCAGGAGACAGAAAGCAGGCCAGAAGGTTCAAATACTGGCACGGGTTGGAGTTTTGTTAGGCTAGCTGCAGAAGCAGCCTCGGCCCCTGCGCGGGGATGACGCTAATGACCCATCGCTTGCTTGGGGCAGGGGGGGGGGGGGGGTTGGGGGGTTTGGCGTCCCCTCTGCGACCAAAATGCCCATCTCAGCGTCTTCCTCGGGTTGGAGCCCACCCAGTGGAGCGGCTCAGACCCCGGCCCGAGACCGAAGAATAGGGGGCGCTGTGGAGCTGGAGCGCAGGGCCAGGCTGAGCATCTCACCTGGCGCGCGCGGGCGCTGGGGGGCAGTTCGGGTGAGCAGGGAAGCGCCGCTCTAGACATCTGTCCGTCCCTCTGGGGCTCCGTCCCTGGCATCAAATTTCCCCAGGCTTCTCGCCGCCCTCTCAGAACACACTCAGTCTCTTGGACTCTCCTTGCACCTCGGGGCCGGAGAGGAGCCCGAGAAGGAGCTGGGAGGCGCGCGGGGCTCGGTCCCCGCTGGCGCCGGCCCCACGTGCCCCCCGGGCCGCCCTCTCCGCAGAGCTGTTCCCGGCGCCGGTGCTGCGGGTGACCGGCCGGGTGGAGGCGCGCGGCGCGGCGCCCGGCGGGGTGGTGGTGCGCTGCGAGACCCGCCTGCACCCGCACAAGCCCGACACGCCGCTGCAGTTCGTCTTCTACAAGTACAGTCGCGTCGTGCGCCGCTTCGACTGGGGCGCCGAGTACACGGTGCCGGAGGCCGAGGTCGAAGAGCTGGAATCGCACTGGTGCGAGGCGGCCACCACGAGCCGCAGCGTCCGGAAACGCAGCCCGTGGCTGCAGCTCCCCGGGCGCGGTGAGTGACCTTGGGGACCCCCCGCCCACCGGTCTGCTGCCCAGCCTCTTCTGAGCACCCCCTTCCCACCTCCCGGGGGACCCTCCCCTCCCCCCACTCCACCACTTTCCGTGCTTCTTATTTCCGCCCCTTCCTCCAACTCCATGCTGCACCCCCGTCGCCCCGCCGCGGGGCCTCGAGGGATCCGCTTCAGCCGCGAGTGACGCCACGTGTTCCGCTCCCAGGCTCTCCTCTGGACCTGGCCTTCACCACGGCCCCCGTTCCGCAGGCCGTGGCCTTGGCGCCCAGTAACAAGCCGCTCTCCTTCCGAAAACCTCTCGTGGCTAGATCGGTCCCATCCGTCAGCTCCATCTCAAACACCACCGCATCGGGACTGCTGTTCCCCATTGGCAGCGCCCCCACTGCCGGACCCCCGGCCTGCGCTCCCCCCACGGCCCTGGAACCTTCTGCCGCGGCAGCCCTGCAACCCAGCGTGGACCTTCTGCTCCGAGAGATGCGGCTGCTCAAAGGCCTTCTGAGCCGCGTGGTCCTGGAGTTCAAGGAGCCGCAGGCCCTCCCGGGAACACCCGAGACCCCCACTAACCACTTGGCTGTGAGCCAGGGAAGCCCGAAGACCACTACTGTGGAGAGCTGAGACTGGGCTCGCTCACCCTTCCCTCTAGGGCGGTGGTCTTCCTAAGCCATCTCGGCTTTTCAGAAGGCAATTCCCTCTCTGCTCCCGGTGTTTTGCGGTGGTTTTAGAAGCAGCACCCCCGTGGTGTGGTGGCCGATGACTTCAACTGCCCACAGCACACAAGAGCAACTTGTAGCCACAAGGCATCCCTTTGCTCTCATTTTCCTCACAGAACAGAGAAAGGAAGTAGAAACCTGTTATTTCCCACTTTGAGGTTTATGTTGGGAAGTGAATTCAGTCAATCTTAAATGTTTCACAAAGGCCCTGCCAGACCTAAGCTCGGTAGAACATTTTAGGGTCAATCTGGAATTATTCATTACTTTCTCTTAATATTAAAACGACTTTCAGTTCTCCAACTCCAAAGAGTCTATATCCTCAATATCTTGAATTCTCTTCCCTTTTATCATCCCTGGGTGGTGTAAATGGTTAACCTCTTTACTAGGACCCAAAAGGTGAGTGGTTGGAACCCGCCAACAGACACCTCAGAGAAAGACCTGGTGATCGGATTCTGCCTTCCAAAGACCACAGCCTGGAAACCCGGTGCTGAGCACGGGTCTAAGAGACACACAGGGTCAACCATGAGCTGAAACCATCTCCATGACAAGTGCTTGCTGCTGATATCCAGGTTTAGAGAGGAGAAGGTCTTTATGTGGATGAGCCTCCCATATTTGGGTTATAAGGGCTAGAATTCTTTCCCAGACTCACTCCCCCAGCCCCCCGCCTGAATGTAGCTACAAAGACTGATGGCTGGACTCTGGTAACATCAGGCAGGCCATGCTCGCCTTTGTGATCAATTAAACAAGAAGTGCCATTTGTATCAAGAAATTTTTTTATGGAAAGTTTGAGATACATCCTCATGACTGCTAAATTCTAATTTTTAACAGAATTTTTTTTTCCTTCCGGAGCACCATTCCAATACTAGCCCATCTTGCATAGTGGCTTCACTGTCACTTGTTCCGCCCCACACTCACTACCATCAAGATGACCCCAACTCCGATCAGCCCTCTAGAACAGCATGGAACCAACCTTTCGGGTTTCTGACACTCAATCTTTTTGGGTACTGACAGCATTGTCTTTCTCACAAGGAGTGGCTAGTGGATCCAAACGGTTGACCTAGCTCTTAACAGCTCACTGCATAACCCCAGCAAAGCTCCTGTCACCTGTTTCAGAAGGGGAAAAAAAGAGCAAGAGGTCATTTTGAGTGCCGTCTCTGAGGGGTATCACCTGCAAGCCCCATTTCATGGTCTCCTAACTGCCTACTGGAGCCACTGGTGCTCCTGCGGGGCGGCTGGGATTTGTCCTCAGGAGGTCTCATTCCCACTGGGTCCAAACCTTTCTCCAGTGAAGCTTCACTTTTAAGAATTAGAACTGAAATCAACTTGCCTCTCCCATCCTTGACTTGTACTTGATAGACTTCAGTCACAAGCCCATTTCCCCTTTCTTTCTAAGTGATTCAGCGGAATAAAGAATAAACATCTTTCAACACATTCTTTTTTTTTTACTCTTTTAAAAAAATTATTTTTAATCATTTTATTAGGGGCTCATACAACTCTTATCACAATCCATACATGCATCAATTGTGTAAAGCCCATTTGTACATTCATTGCCCTCATCATTCTCAAAACATCCGCTCTCCACCCAAGCCCCTGGCATCAGCTCCTCGTTTCTTTTCCCTCCCTCCCTGCTCCCCACTCCTCATGAACTCTTGACAATTTATAAATTATTATTTTGTCATATGTTACACTGCCCGACATCTCCATTCACCCACTTTTCTGTTGTCCATCCCCCAGGGAGGAGGTTATATGTAGATCCTTGTAATTGGTTCCCCCTTTCTAGCCCACCCTC